GAGTCCTACAAACTAGCTCACAGTCTCCTCTAAACTCCCAAACTGGCAGGGGTTCCCCACTCCAAGTGAGTGTAGTGCTCTCATGGGCACATTTGGGCAGCATGGACACTCCTCATGCAAATGGGAGTGTGGCGGACTGAACTCCCAGCTTATGTAGGCTGAAACCAGAAGTCCGGCCAGCGCATGGGCCTCCCGATGTGCCACATAGTGAACCGAGGTACCCCCATGGCCAATTTTCACCACTAGGCCTCTCCGGGGGCAACTGGGCCTCATTTTGGCCAGGTACATGCAGTCCGAGTGGTTGGTACCAACTCGGACTGCCTCTTGGGCCTTTTTCCAGCCTCATACCACTTGAAAAATGCTGCCCCCTTGAGTCCAGGGCCCAAGGGACAGCCTACTTGGGAGAAAAAGGCCTTGACTTTTTTTGATTTTGGCCTCCCTTGGGTAGGTCGGAGTATTTTTCCATGTGGCGGCACATTTTCATCCTTGGATCAGGCTGAGATCCACGGTGACCCTAGCTTCAAATTCGAGCCCCTAAGTTCAATTTTTCAATTTTTGGTGCATCTGGCTCTCTTTTTGGGCCAAATGCATAGTTCTGTTTTTTTCCCTCTTTTATTTCTTTCCATTTTGAGCTGCCACCTCATTCCGGAGTTAGCCGTTTTGAGCTGGCCCACAAAAAATGGTTGTTTCTTCTCCACCATGAGATCTGATCTCAGATCCATGGTCAAAAAGAAAACCGGTCATTCCCTTTTTGCATTTTCTCTCATTTTTGCCTTTTTAATTCATTTATTGTGGAGATACGGGCCCAAGGGCCATATCTCAACAATCCGGCCTACCCTCCCTCATTCTAGGAGGGGTGAGGTCATCATTGGGACCTGCCAGTCCCTACTGCAGCAGTCCCAATAGGCCGACACATTCTCCTCCACCTTTTTCTCTCGTTTTGTCTCATTCTCCCTTCATTTTCTCCCCTTTTTCTGTTCTTTTTCTTTTAATTTTGCTATGACAAATGTCAAATAGCTGTGCACCCTTTTTCTAGGCCTTAGATCCTTAATCATGGCCAGGTTCATGGCCGGCTGTTGGCCGTTACATCCTGAATTTCAGAAATGACCCTCCCATGCTCCTAGGGGGTTTTATTTTGCCACCGTTTGTCCGATTTTGAGCCCCCTTTGTTCCGATTTTCTATGGCAGCCTGTTTTCTCATGTTGGGTCTCTTGGAGATTCATTTTCACATGCCTAGCTAGTCCGAAATATCTCAGACTGCTGGGAAGCCCTCTCAACTCCCGTTTTCCTTTTCTTTTTACCGCTAGGCCTCCTGTTTGGGCCTCACTAGTGCTTGCACTAGTAATGCTAATATTTCCCACCGTCTAGATCCTTGATCTCGACGACACCTTTTGCTTGCACAATTATTCTTTGTGCTTGCTTATGGTTCTCTTGGGACATCCCAAGTCCCTGCCACTTCCTTCCATACAAATTCCACTTTCTTGTCCCGTTTTTTCGACTTTTATTATTTGGGCCCACTTGGTCCCCGACAATGTCTCGGACGGCGTCCCATTTTTATTTTGGGACCCTCTTGCCCCCAATAGTCCCAATGTTTCTTCCTTGGGTGCCACGTGCACGCCGATTTTTCTCGGTCGTGAGATCTCATCTCACGGTTGCCGTTTACCGTCTCCGCTTGCCCTATGCCGAAATCACCCTTTTTTAGCCTTTTTGGGCTTGCCGTGGCTCATTTTCTCTTCGTCTAGGCATCCTTATGCAGTCCGATATTTCTCGGACTGCAGTCACGGCCATTCTCCCAATCCCACAGCCCCACACTGTGCCCCATGCCAAAGGAAAATGAAGCGTTCAATTTTTGGGTGCATCCGGGCTCAATATTGGCTCCGGACGCACCTAAAACATGTGTTTGGCCCTCCCCATGCAGTCCGTTGCAACTCGGACTGCAATAGGGGCCATTTTCCTACACCCAATGCCCCACAACTAGCCCCAAATTGAAAGAAAAAGAAACGACCAACTTCCAAGTGCATCCGGTCCTCATTTTGGCTCCCGGTGCACCTAAAACATGTGTTTGGCCTCTCCTATATAATCCGTTATTTTTCGGTTGCATGGGGCCTTTGATTTTTCTTGATTTTCTCTGCAAAATCAAGGAAAACCCAGAATACTTTGTAACCGACATATGCCAGAATGAATCTGGTCACAAAAACACCCCCTAGATGACCGTTTTTGGTTGTTAGTGCCCTTTTGACTTTTTCCTTTTTCTTTTCTTTTCCTCCACTTGTGGATAGTAGGGACTTGCCAGTCCCTACTTGCTGAAGTCCCAACTGACGGTCAAATCAGTCATCCTCTCTCACTTCCCATTTTTCATCCTTTCTCACTTCCCATTTTTTTTTTCTTTTTCTTTTTCTTTTTCTTTTTCTTTTTGGCATGCCAAGTGACATTAGCCGTTAAGGCCTTTTTCTAGGTTCCTCCTCTTTGTTTTGGCCCTTCCCATGCCCAAGGGCGAGTCCGTTATTTCTCGGACTGCACTTGTGGTCTTTCCATGCCCATGGGAGCCTCCATTTGCCTCTACCTCTTCCAAACGGTAGGCCCCCATATTCCGATTTTCCCCCGGAGGCCTATTTTTTTCATGGAGGCTCTTTTGGTCCCATTTTCTTGCGGGAGGTCAATCCAAGATTTTTCGGATTGCTCCCACGCCTCTACACCCACGTTTCTTTTACTTTTCTTTTTCTTTTGGCCCTCCCGCTTGCTCCCACTAGCGTTCATGCTAGTGGTGCTAATATTCTTGGCCGTTAAGATCCTTGATCTTGACATCTTTCTTTAATTATTTGCGCCTCACGGCACGCCACAATTTTTCCTTGGGACTTCACAAGTCTCCGCCACTTTCCCACGTTAGTCGCCGACACTAATCCCGCTAGTGGTCCCGCCGGTACTGGTCCCGCCGGTGGTCCCACCAGTACTTGTCCTGCCGATGGTCCCCGACACTTTGTCCCGTCGGCGGTCCCTGACACTTTGTCCCGCCGGTGGTCCCTGACACTTTGTCCCGCCGGTGGTCCCCGACACTTTGTCCCGCCGGTGGTCCCTGGTACCTTATCATTTTTCCGCCTTATGGCGGTCTCCTTCCCTTTGTCCTTCTCATGCCCCGTGCGCCGTTCTCCCCGGACGAGGGTTCTTACTTGGCCCGGGCTACAACTTCACGCGCTGGCACCCTATTTACTGTCTTCTCCGCTTGCCGCATGCGACCCATGGCGTCACTTTCCCGGCGGTCATTCTCCTTCTCAGGGGAACGATCGCCTTTGCTATTTTCTTGCGGCCTCTCGCCGCTCGCCGTTCCACTTATCCTTCCTTGGTCCCGTGGCTCCGGCGACCCGGGAAACCTCCACGTCCCCTAGTGTCAGTACCTCAATGCTTTCTATCCTTCCTGCCTCTGGTTTTCTCTATCGTGCACAATTCAACGGTATACCGCCTCTCGACGGTTTTCTCTATCGTGCACAATTCAACGGTATACCGCCTCTCGACGGGCAAGACTTATCTCGGGACCCACCAATCCCAACAACGGGAAGCTCGTTCCCTTGAGCATCTTTGACCATGAAAAGTGACTCCTTCCACCTGGTCCATTCGCAGTGAGACCGCAGCCAGCCCAAGCCAAGGACAGCGTCGAAGGGCCATTTGTCAAGGACATAGAAGTTCAACGCGTGTGTGACAGTTTTGTCCTTGTCAAAGGTCGTGCGCACACCTTTGACTGCATGTGTAAAAAAAACAACTTCTTTGTTGCCAACTTGCGTTCGACAAGCGTTCTACAAGGCCACTTGCTTCATTCCCAAGCCCACTTTGCGTATCCCATGAGGTGACATAAAGTTAGCAGTAGCGCCACAGTCAATCAAGACACGGAGATAGCGGTGGTTTATGAGAAGTTTGAAGAAGATCAACTTCACTGTCCCTTGGGCACGCTGCTGTTTCATCTCAGTCCAATGCTCCAAGTGGTAGTGGAAGTCGACCGTCCCAGACTCCTCCCAAGGCTCGACATACAAGATATTACACACTTCAGCCTTGGCTTCAGTAGATGATTGGGCTTCAAGGGAGGACTGTTGATTTGCATCAGATTCAGTCTCCCTTGTTGTAGATTGTGCTGAAATCGACTTTACGCCCGGGTCTGGTTTCCCTGCAGCCTATAGCAATCCTGTACCTTATGGTTCCGTTTCCGGCAATGCAGGCATACCCCCTTCTCGAGTCTTCCCCGCCAATCACTTTCAGTGATCCGGAGATCGACCCACGGTTTAGTGGCCGCATCCTCCGGTTTTGCTAGACATAATTTTTCCCTCCATTCCGATTTGGTCCCTTTGTATTGGCAGTCTTTTTAAAGGCAGTGCATTTTTCTTCTTCTTGGTTTGCGCCAGACTCATGGGCGGACGAACAGGCTGTATCAGTATCCTCTTGTTGGTCGTCGCCAAGAGTGGGGTCATCTGCATTGGCCTCTTCTTCAGCCTCCAACAGGTCATGCACAGCAAAACGGCTATTGCCTTTGAACCGCCTCCCGCCCATGGGCTTTTTGCTGCCTGTTGTGGAAACGAGGTCTATTGCCTCAAGACTATGTCCTTCATAAGAGTGAACCAGTCAGTGTACCCAATGAAGTCCCTGCCAAGGCGATTAGTGAAATTGGCGGGAACCGCGCCTTTGACCACATCCAAGCAAGATTGGTCAGTCAGTTCTAACCCGTGTGTAGCAAACATCTTGTTGAGGTAGGTCTGCAGGCTTTTCATGGAGCCCGTCCACTTGCTGCGTTTAATTTTAGCAAGCTGGCTTTTTGCCCTTGCTGCAGCGTGTAGATCCATATATTGGGAAATGAGGAGTTCCTCGAGGGAGGCAACCGGGGTGGCCTTAAGCCACCTTGTCAATTCTATCTTAGGAACCCCAGCTCGCGTAGCTTGGACCTCTAAGAAGCCCCGTACAACAGGCTCGACATTCATTCCCATGATCATGGACTGGGTCTCAGGTTGAGTCCCAAGAACCTCAAAGTATGCCCTCATGGAGCTGATCCAGGATTCAACGTCTTCTTTGCCATCATACTTAGACGGTATTTGCACCGCCTTTCGATCCACATAGGCACCGACGTGGTTGGGACCAGCACCCGCTGGTTCTGATCTTGGGGCTGCAACAATTGCAGAATTTCGTGCCTCGTTGCTTGTTACGGCAACGGCAGAATCTACACCTGTTGCAGGTCCCGAGGGGTTTGGCATCACACTTAAGGAAGAAGTAGAAGAAAATACGGTAAGAGGGGCAGAGTTAGTTTCAATTGCAGCTCCGAAACCAGGGGGTAGAGGAAGAGGATTGGCCGCTTGGGCTTGTTGCAACGCAGCAACCTCTATCGTCAAGTCCTGGTACTTGTCCGTCATCTCAGTCAGATCCTCCTGCAGTTTTTGCAATTTTGCGAAGACTTCGGCGATATGAGTGGTATGATCTTCAAGGCTTCGGACTTGGACGATAGCGGTCAGTATGGGCTGCAGTTGTTCCCCACACTGCTCTTTGGTCAGCGAGGGGACAGTTTCCAAGATGGCCTCCTTACTTTTCAGCAGTTATTCCTTCCTCTCCTTCTCTGTCTCTTGTTCCTTTTTGATGGCACTATCTAAGAGTGCTTGCAGATACGGTTTCTCCGCATCGCTGGCTGCATCCAACAAGGCCTTCCACTTGATTGAGGTTACCTGTGGCTGGGCCGTTTTCTGACCGTTGTCGTCGGCAGGTGGATCGAAGAGACGCCAATCAGCAAAAGAATCAATCAGACTCTCAAGAGGTACACTCCCCTTTTCGCTTGTGACATGTCATTTGGACTTAGAGAGCAGCAAACCAAAGAATAAGCAAACAACTTGACATGAGAGGTCTGATCCAACGACCCAGTCTGATCAGACTGCATACGAGGCCTCTCGAGTCCAGTCTGACCAGCTCCGTGACCGTGCAGCAAATCAGACAACGAGTGACTAAATGCAACAATGGAGAATTGAGTGGTGTATAGGGTGCGAGTCAAGCCACAGACGGTGCAACCAAAAGCATGTGAAACGTCTCAGTCGAGATCCCCTCGGCAGTGGGTGTCCTAACCAACAAGAATAAAACTCCGGATCTCAGTCAAGAAGACAATGGAGTAATGCCAAACAAATTTGGGTCGAAAGGGCTCTTCTTGTTTGGGCCCAGTCCCAGTGGGTCCCAGAGGTCCCAGGTAGGCCGCGACCAGGTCCCAACCAAGAGGAGTCCCACATGGACTCAGTTCAGTTTCTACCGCACTGAAAAATGGAATTTCAACTTCCGACAGAACCTACAGACTACAACCGTTCAGAGATGAAAAGACAAAGCACTGTAGAAAGACTCGGCATTCGGATCAGATACTTCATTTTCCATCCATCCAGTGAGTAGGTAGATCACACGCATTCAATCACACAATCAAGACCACAGAGGAACCCCAGCAGGACAAACCATACCATGGGCGTCCCGTAGGTGCACGACACTTACCTGAGTGGCCTTGAGCTTTGAGATGAATAGAACTCACCCCCCTCTCATGTGATCCTCCTGACCCCTCTAACGTTACCCCTACACTAGTGTCCTATCTCCTAGGAAGGTCTTGACTCCAACACCAAAGTGCAACGCCGGATCCCCCGTCGATGCTGAAGAACAAAGTAGCAACTTGCAGTCCGTAGACGTTGAGTGGCCGCTAACCCTCAACCTCGCCTACTTGAGGGCAGCCCTTAAGTTGCCAAGTGCCTCCCTTGAATCAGATTCCAGGTGTGAGTGCCTCTCACTGTCGCCTCTCTCAAATTGCCACATGAAGTCTTCTTGAAATGTTTCGCCACCCTAATCTCACTCCCAAGCAACCTGGTTAGGTTCAATGTCGACCCCACATGACCTAACCAGGTGGGGGCAGCTTCCCTGCCATGCTGCCCCATTTCCCTTAACAACCAATCCTAACCCTAAGTGTTGCCCTGAACCACTTAGGTTAGGGTTAGGGCAGCAAAGTCAACTCTCACCAGCAAGTAGAATCCGCTCCGATACCAATGTTATGATCCTGGCCAATTTCGTGATACACATCCATCAGATAGTACAATGCCGCCCAATTGCAGAAAGAAATTAATGAACTTGAGAGGAGAGGGAGGATTACCATCATTGACAAATGACAAGGCTCTTCTTCTTC